TCTGTTTTGTCTGGGGCATTGGCCCACAGCCCCCCTCAAGCAGCGACGCCGCTCCCCACACTGTCGACAACCCCCCCAAGCACCACCGTCGCTCCCCACACTGCCCAAAGCCCCCCCCCACCCCACACACGCCCCTGCGCAAACGTGTCAATCGTGTTTACCGGCGTTTAGTGAACGCGTGTTCAGCGTGTTCAAAACCTAAACGTGAAACCCGCGTTCAATGAACGCGCGAGAACACAAATTGCCGCCCCCGCGATCCGAACGACGAAGTGGGCCGCAGTTTCCTCGTGTGCCGACTTAACCCAGTCATACCTCATGAACGGGTGAGGAACAAACATCCAGATCCCGCTACCATCTGTCTCCCGTTTTTCCAATCGCCCCTCGTTCCATCGATAATCCTGTGCCCTCTCATTAGCTCTCCTACGATCCTCCTTGGTGAAATCGCGAAGGGAGTTCCCCACCACTGTGGCTATTAAAACGACATCTGTCCATACTTCCGCCCTTCTAAACCTACGTGTCTTTTCCAATCCTTCCGACGTGGCTTCGAGAAAATGAGCCTCGGTTGGAATTTTGTTCGTTCAACACAGAAGACACAACCAGGCTTTGTTGGCACTCCTAAACTGAATGCAGGAGTCATGGGCCCTAGAGACGCATTGTCGGCAATCTACCCACTCGACATATCCCTCCCCACTACGATGCATAGGGACTGAGTAGACACGCAAGATTGCCTCGCAAAAATAACAAAATTTATCAGGTAGAGAGAAAAAAAATGAGGATGAGAGGGGAGAAAGGGGAGCCCCAGAGTTACCTCTGTCACCCATCGCCACATGCTACTTCTTGCTCCGAGGGAGGACTGCAACTTGTCCATACCATGGCCCACTGACGGGTTCAGGTTCTCTCAACGCAGTGACTCTTCGCCTTTAGCTACCTTGGCAGGGCGGTGCAATCGCGTCAGTCCGTCCACGCTCCCGCACCTCTCCGTCTTTTGATGGATGATGTTGAAATCGTATTCTTGCGTCCGCACTGCCCAACGTCTAATCATGCCCGTGTAATTGGTAAGCCTCTTGAGAGTCAACAGGGGCTCGTGATCCATAACGAGGAGGAACTTTTGTTCGTATAGATACGGATGAAAGTGCTGAATTCCCCAAACAACCGCATATCATTCTCCTCGGGGATTCGAATCGTTCTTCATTTCATCTGGTACTGTCCGGGACGCGTACTTTATGACGTGCTTGCATTTTTTCCCCCCTTTTGTGCCAAGATAGCGAAGATTGCTTCAGGCTGCCACTTCGTAATAAGTATGAATTGCTTCTTCGGATCTGGTCGAATCAAAATAGGTGTCATGGCTAGGGCTTCCTTCAATGTGACAAAGGCCTGCTCGCACTCCACATCCCAGCTAAGTGGCTGGTACTTTCGCAGCAGGTTCGTCAGGAGCCGTGCGATAACGGCGAAACCCTTGATAAATCGTCGGTAGTACGAGGCCAACCCCAAAAAGGCCCCAACCTGAGTCAATGACTTATGAGTTGGGGCGTCTCGAACAGCCCCGACCTTTCTCGAATCTGGTCTTAAACCTTCTCGGGTCACCACGTACCCCAGGAACGAGATCTTGGAGAGAAAGAACTCACTTTTTTCTAGTGCGATCTTGAATCCGGTGTCCCACATGGCTCCTCGTTTCCACTCGATGCGCTGCGCGTGTCCGTGAAATGACTCTAAGTAGACCAAGATATCGTCCATATACAACATGACACAAAAATTGATCATGCCTTGAGTCGGTCGGGTCTTGTTGACGAAGATTTGAAATGTTACGTTCATCGCCCTTTGAAAAGTAGTCTGTGCGTTGCAGATTCCCATCGGGCATCGAACCCACTGCCAGGTGCCTTCAAACAGCACAAACGCTGTCTTCAGCCGGTCCTCCTGAACCAGTATGTGATGGAACCTATGACGAATATCAAACTTACTAAAATAATTAGTACACCCGATCGCATCCAACAAATCATCAATCCGGGGGAGGGGATACACATCCTTGATCGTGATATCATTCAGTTTGCGGTAATCAATGCAAATGCGAACSGACCCATTTTTCTTTGGTACTAGGACTACGGGGAACAACCACRGTCCGGTAGTTGGCTCAGTCCATCCACT